TTAGAATCCCACAGCGAGAATGGCCACTTCTGGGATTTGTAGTCCAAAATGTAATTCCTCTTAAAAATGAGGGGGGAAAGCAAGTATTTCTCATGTGCAGACTTCATTGATGTAGCTAGATTTATAAAATGCTGTAGTACATCATTAAATAAATAGGGCAGTATTAGTCACACTGCAGTTATTATTCATTATGTGAATAATTACACTTTTAAAAAGCTAATGCTTTATTGCTGGAGCACATCCTCTTTAGAATTATCCTGTGCCATGTTCTCCACTGATGCATCTAATGGTAAAAAACTGCTTCACATTAGTCAGTAACGTCTTCAATCATTATGAGTAATAACTTCAGACTGAATTAAGTCAGTGAATGTTTCCCATTTCTTGGATGGGGTTCAGTAAAAATCATTATTATGCAGCTTGCAGAGACTTTGGCCTCAGGGTGCCACTCAGAACAAAGATAGTGCTGCTTCTACCAAATCTGAAGAAATAGTTTAGATGAGGATAAAAAGAGATTTGTTTCAGCCATCCTTATTAAAGTTGTGTCTCTAGTATTACCCATAAAATGTGTACCTCTTGATTGGCTTATGTCCTTTTCAAATATAATTTAAACATGGTTGTTGTGGGTTTTCCAGGCTGTTTGGCCATGTTCTTAAGGTTTTTCTTCCTAACGTTTCACCAGTCTCTGTGGCCGGCATCTTCAGAGGACAGGAGTCAGAACTCTGTCCATGCTCTGTTGCAGTTTGTTGGATAGTTGAGTATTTATAGTGGTGGGATCAGCTTTTGTCCTTTTCAGGTGATTGGGTAATTATGGTGATCAGTGTGTTTTTGTTGTGGGCGTGTTGTGATAAGGGGGAGAGATGATCTGTCACTGTGACCGATGGGTGTCGTTAGCTGATCTTTTGTGCGCAGTGATCACTGGTCCGTGTGGCTGGATAGAGTTACTTGACCTTTTGCAGGCTGTATTTTTCAGTGCTGGGAGCCAGGCTTTGTTGAGTTTTAGACTTTCTTTTTTGTTGAAGTTCTGCTGGTGTTTGTGGATTTCAATGGCTTCCCTGTGCAGTCTAACATAATGTTTGCTGGTGTTGTCCAGTACTTCAGTATTTCGAAATAGAATTTCATGTCCAGCTTGTTTTAGGGCATTATTTATTTATTTATTTATTTATTTGTTCGATTTATATCCCGGCCATCTGGTATATTCTACCACTCTGGGCAGCTTACAGAATATCAAAAACAATTAAAATAAATAAATAAATAAAATGTTCAACTACTGCTGATTTTTCGAGTTGTTTTAGTCTGCAGTGTCTCTCATGTTCTTCATCAGACAAAAGCTGATCCCACAGGTATAAAAACTCAACTGTCCAACAAACTGCAACAGAGCAGACATAGTTCTGACTTCTGTCCTCTGAAGATACTGGCCACAGAGACTGGTGAAATGTTAGGAAGAAAAACCTTAAGAACACGGCCAAACAGCCTGGAAAGCCCACAAGAACCTTCGGATCCTGGCTGTGAAGGCTTCGAGAATACATAATTTAAACAATTTATTTTCAAAGCAATCAGAAGACACCCTCATCAAAAAGGAATAACACACCCTTACTTCTCCCCACTCAACTTAAAATTTAACTATTTTATTTCATTCATTTATTTAAGTTATTATATTTTTACTTCACTTCTGAGTATTCTCTACCTGGAAAACCCTGAAAAGGTTCACTATAAGTCAGAATTTACTTGATGGTGCATTATGATCCCTATGATGCCAGAACAGGTAATTAGTCAATAAAACAAAATAATAAAAAGTACAGTTATAGAGTTTTGCAAAAATAGAATTATGGAAGAGAAGACCAGCCAGTTTTAATGGTCTAAGAAAATAATTAGGACTTGGATTAAGGTATGAGTTAATGAAACTGCTGAAATTCCCTGAACAGTCCTGATAGAGTTGCCAGTTACATCTTTTTTGGGAGGAGATTGGCTTGTGCTGAACAGATTAATCTTTCACAAGTCATGTGATAAAACACCAGAGAAGAAAGAGGTATGTCTGTCACTCTACTAGTCCTAGGTAAGAAATATGTAATCTAGGTCTATAAAGGAGAACAAAGGGGTACAGAGTACAGTTTTCAGTATGATATAGAAAAGCCACAGAGAGCATTTGGGTATCTTTTCATTAACAGCATCAGAGTTGTCTATTTGGACATCTGAGGTAAGACAATTGGGAACAGCTGCTGCTAGTGTATAACTCCTCCAATTCCTTTCAATTATAGAAATCATAGAAAAGTTAAGTTGGAATGGGCCTACAAAGCCATCAAGTCCAACCCCCTGCTCAATGCAGAAATACTGTACAATCAAAGCATATCTGCCAGGTGATTATCTAAATTTTTCTTGAATGCCTCCAGTGTTGGAGCACTCACCATCTCACAAAGTAGCTGGTTCCACTGTTGTACTGCTCTAACAGTTAAGAAGTTTTCCTGATATTAAACCGAAATCTGGCTTCCTTTAACTAGAGCCCATTGTTGAATTTCATTCTATTGCTTTTGGTCCAGTGCTCCATCCTATCAAGGTCATTTTGAATCTCGTTTCTGTCTTCTAGGGCAAAAGTCCCCAACCCCCGGTCTGCGGCCCATTACTGGTCCATGGCCTGAGCTGGACTGGGCCGTGGAGAGAGACCTCCCCCCACCCCTGCACGCATTCCCCCCTATCCTGTTTGTGCCTGCATGTGAGTGTGTGCGTGCCCGCACGAACACTGTGCTGCCCTTTGTACATGCTCATGAGCGCAGGAAGATGCCCCACCTTCCTTAGCCAGTCCGTGAGGCTAAAAATGTTGGGGACTGCTGTTCTAAGGCATTAGCTATTCTGTCCAATTTGGTATCATTTGGAAATTGGACAAGCATTCCCTGCGCTCCCTCATTTACGAATAAAAATATTGCGGAGCACCAAGCCCAGGACTGAGCCTTGGGGTACCCCACTAGTTACCTCCTCCTAGTTAGAGAAGGACCTATTAATCATCACCCTCTGAGTATGAGTCTGTAGCCAATTATGTATCCGACACTTGATCTATTCAGCCCACACCTAGTTAGCTTGCTGATCAGGATATCATGGGGCACTTTGTCAAAAGCTTTGCTGAAGTCAAGGTATACTACATCTATAGCATTCCCGCTATCAGTGATGTGACCTGATCAAAAAATGAGATCAAATTAGTTTGGCAGGATTTGTTCTTGACAAATCCGTGTTGGCTTCTAGTTATTACTGCATTGTTTTCTAGGTGCTTGCTCAATGACCGCTTTATGATCTGTTCCAGAATTTTGCCTGGGATTGATGTCAGGCTGACTGGCCTGTAGTTTGCAGGTTCCTCTTCTTTTGCCCTTTTGAAAATAGGCACAACATTGGCCCTCCTCCAATCCTCTGACACCTCCCCCATTTCCCATGATTTCAAGAAAATAACGGATAGCGGTTCTGAGAGTTCTTCAGCCAGTTCCGTCAGTACTCTCATATGCAGTTCATCCAGCCCTGGAGATCTGAACTTGTTCAAGGTGGTAAGGTCAGGCAACAAAAAATACAAGGGGCCAACCGGTAAGCCTCTCTGAGGTGGCATTTAAAGGCAGATCTTCAAGACCTCCAATTGCAATTTACTATTTAATCTCAGATACGGTTGACTGGACAGGGCTTGCAGAAGAATTACCTTCTGTGTACTGGCATGCTTGTTTTAGAAAGTGGAGGAATTGTATCTATGCAAAGTTTCGAAAATAAACGGCACTGCCTCAAATGTTTTATAGAGAAGGACCAGCAGACAGCACAATTCCAAAAGTGGTTAGAAACACTGCATGGATTCGAGGTAGCTAACATGCCTTTCTCATGCAACCCATGTTTCTGCTCTGTCCTTCCATTCCTCTTCTCCTATATATTTTCCTCAGACACAAAGATTAATCCCAGTGCTAGATCTACATTTTATGTGAAACAATTCTGTTGGAATTAAATGATGGTTGAGGAAAGCACTCACAAAGCTTGTTTACCAAGAAATTTCACACTGAGCTCACTCCGACTGGCATCCAAGTCTGAACAACTAAGCATTTTTGGCCGCAAGTGGCTTCTTAATTTAATCTTGTGTACGGCTGCATTTCGCTCCAGAGCAAAGAAGAAAAGAATGAACTGTTGTACACTGCAAAATGGAAACAGAGGTTTTAAAAGGAGGAAATGCTTCAAGGAAGTTTCTCTTAAAATAAAGAGGGAGGGAACCGAGGAAACCCGTGTAGGCAGAAAGAAATGACTCCTTGCCAGGTCATGTTTTTCAGTTGCTAAGAAGGAAACCGAGCTTTCTGGGATGACCCAGGTCTCCATATAAAAGATCAACTCAGACCTGGGGTGTAATTTATTTGGCTGTGGCCAGAGACTGGACCCATTTCAAATGAGCTCACCAGGCTGTCAATGTCTTTTCAATCCTGGCGGGGAGGAAACTAAGTGAGAACATTAAGAGGAAAGGAGAAACTGATAGATGTTTCTGTCGGTATGACTGGGCAGTCAGTGCAGAACCCAACCTTTCTCATCCTCACCCCACTCCTTTTGCATTCAAAATGTGAGTAAAAACACACGCTTTCGCTGGCCATTCTGGCAACCCACGCAAGTGGCATCCCGTCCTAGCCATGAGGCGCAGGCATGCGCCTGTTGCTAAAAAAGAAGACGGCGATATGCCCCACACAAAGATGATAAAATGTTTTTAAAAAGAGAGAGAGGAAGGAAAGCGAGTAGGGATGGGAGGCGTCGCCATTTACGGCCCTCACGCCAACCAGGAGATTCGCCGCCAGAGTCCCGTGCTCTGGGGCGAAGCCCCCGTTTCTCCACCCTTGTGAGGGTCTTGACTCTCACATATTATCCCACAAACGTGAATGGGTCACCGGGGCCTTGGAGGCAGCCTAGAAGAGCTGGTGTAAGTGGGCGCAGGAGGCTGGCGGTCGAGAGCGAGAGAGGAGCGAGGTTTTTTTTTTGTTGTTGGAATTTTGCTCTTCTTCAGGCGAGCGGCGACAGAGAGAGCGAGCAGCTTCGGCGGCGTCTCCGCGGCGGCTCCCCTAGTCGACGAGGCCTGCCTTTCGCCACCGCGGCCGCTCGATGGCTCCGGGACCGATTAGGCGGCCCTGACGGGCTACCCAAGCGGGAACGAGGAGGAGGGAGGCAGCGGCTCCTCCTCCTCCTCCTGCTGGCCGAAGGGAGGGAATGGGCTTCCCTGAGTCAGGCAAGAAGCAGGCGGAGGGAGCGCCAGCCTGTGAATCCCAACTCCGCGGTGGCGGCAGCAGCAGCAAGTCGCCGCCGCCGCCGCCTGCGCAGGACCCCACCCTGCGCCGAGCAAAGCGAGCCTTTCTCGGAGAGCAAGCTGCCTGCAGGCCAGCAGGTAAGCTGAGGGAGCGAGGGGAGAGGGAGGGAAAGAAAGAAAGGGGAGCGCTGCCTCGGGCTTTCTCTTCCTTGGGGACGGGCGGGATAGGGGCCACCCGCCTCCGGGGGAGGGCTTGGAGTGCCCCCTTTGGGGGAAGGCATCCGTCGGGAGTCTGCGAGAGGAGGGCGTCCTTTGGGGGGGAATTCCTCAGCTGGCCCCCAAGAGCGTCCTGAGGGGGCATGAGCTCCGGGACAAGTCCTTCCCCTGAGCTGGAGGGGAGAGGCGACTTCAGACATTGTTACAAACCAGAAATAAGAGGACTGATGCTGCTGCTGCTGCTGAGGGAAGGAGGGCGCCTCGGACTTGCTCCTGAGAATTCATCTGGTGAGCAGTTCATCTGACTTGGGGAGGCATTCGCTTCAAAGTTGTGGGGTTGTTTGTTTTTGGACAAGGGGGGTCATCTTACCAAGTTTTCGAAGAAAGAGACAGGGGAGAAATGAAATATAAAGCTTTGGGGGAGAACCTGTCAGAAATCCTCTGTGAAGGCAGGGAGGGATTTTTTTTAATTTATGAGGGGGGGGGAGACCCCTTTCTCTAAGTGTCCAAACTAAGGAAAGCGCGTTTATTTCCCCGGAGAAAGTGTAGCTGGAGGTCAAAGTATGCTTGGCTCTCGGAGTGACTGAAACAGATACCAGTTCCTGCTTGCAGAACTAAGCACACATTCAAGATTCCTTAAGGATGATGATTTACTCCTCAGACTGGGATAGGGTGGACTTGGTGATTGGTGAGCGGCTCTGTTCCCCCCTCTGTTTGAATATACAGTACTTTTGTGTGAAAATGGAGTATTCCTTTATTCCTTACTGATTCTGAGTATGCAGTGGATGGTGACACTGAATTGCTAATGCAGTTGACAAATATGTAATTTTGGGAATTGTGGAATAAATGCAATCTCATAAGGAACAAAGGATATACAATACAGTACTGTAGTCATCTTGGGAATCTGGGTACCCAGCATCCTGTTGAGTCATAGCGTAAAAGGGTACTGTTAAGATTCCAAATTTAAAAGGGCATCTGAGACAAGCTCTTTGTTCTCATCCCTCTTTTCGACCTTCTGATCAGTTAGTTTAGAGTAAATCCCATTCCTTGTAATCTGTACTCATTTACAGTATGACAGGATAAGAACTATAAACATGCATAAATAAAGATTGAACATTCTGGAAAAGCTTGCTTTTTAACTATACTGTTAGACCCTTACTTGAATTGTACCTTAGATGCTGATTTTATATACATGACTATTTAGGTAGTTACTATATTTGTTACCAACTCCATCACAGAGTTGTTTACACCAGAGTAGTAGAAAACAATATAAATACTGGATGGAATTAATAAAACCACAAACAACAGACTAACCATAATAAATTAAAATACGGCACATTAGGTTATACATTGTCTCTTTTAAAAGCTTAGGAAGAAAAAAAGCTGAGTGCAGAAATGATTTAAAGTAGGTGACAGTGTATTTGCATTAGTTCGATTCTGCTCTGATTACCGTGCTCCATCCTATGGAGTGTTGGGATTTGTAGTTTGATGCAGAAAGTTGTAGGCATATTGCCTGAACTAAAGGACTCACCTTTCCGAAAGATAGAGCTATGGCAGTTAAAGTGGGACTGCTGTAAAGGTGTAATGAAGATACACTCTTGAGCTTCTAGGAAGAACATTCCAAAGATGGGTCACTGGAATGGAGAAGGCTTCTTCCAAGTTGCCACCTGTTTTGTCTTATAGGATGGGCCATTTGGAGGCCAGCTTTCAATGCTGGTACAGAAAATGTACGTAGTCCAGCAGATAGACATTCTTTCAGACTTCAAAGGGTTTAAAGTTAAGCATCAGTGCTTTGAATTAAAGTCAGAAATAGAATTGCGTCGGTGCTGGTGTTTCAGCATTAGCAAGATGTGATCCCAATATTTGATGAACCAACCCACATGCAGAGTAGTCCTGTTTGCACCTTTCTGAGCCCCTCTGAAGGGCTGCTACTGTTTTGGTGCAGATGGCATTGCTCTGCTTTTGTCCATTTCCAGCATGTGTGATCACTGCAAGCAGACAAAAAAAAAAAAAAAACACTTTTCCTCTGCTTGTTGGCAATACAGTGGTGCCTTGACTTACAAACTTAATTGGTTCCGGAACTCAGGTCATAACTCGAAATGGTCATAAGTCGAAGCACCATTTCCTACAGGAATGCATTGAAATGCAATTAATCTGCTCCGGTCGAAGAAAAAAAATCACCAAAACAAAAAACAAACAAACAAAAACACCGCAAGACCCATCGGAAACACGATTAATCCGTTCCGGCCGAAGGGGAAAAAAAAGAAAAGCAAACAAACTGTGCAAGACCCATCGGAAATGCAAAAAAAGCAAAGCAGAAAGCAAACAAACTGTGCAAGACCCATCGGAAATGCAAAAAAAGCAAAGCAGAAAGCAAACAAACTGTGCAAGACCCATCGGAAATGCAAAAAAAGCAAAGCAGAAAGCAAACAAACTGTGCAAGACCCATCGGAAATGCAAAAAAAGCAAAGCAGAAAGCAAACAAACTGTGCAAGACCCATCAGAAATGCAAAAAAGCAAAGCAAAAAGCAAACAAACCCCACAAGCCCCATCAGAAACGGGTGAAAAAAACCCAAAACAAACAAATCATGCAAGACCTATCACAGCATAGAAACATAATCCTACCACCCAGCCTAAAACCATGCTACAAATCCCACCCAGAACAACTTTTAAAAAGTAGAAAGCAGCACCTTACCTTACCAGGCAGTCCAAAGCCTCCTCTCTGATCACACACTCTAACCCCTGGGGCGAAAGAGCTACAAAGAAGCAGCCTCTTCGCCACCAATGGTTAGCAATTTGAATTCCACGCCTTTTTTCCCTGCCTTTTTCTGGTTATAACTTGAAAAAGTTCTGGTTATAACTTGAACTTCGGCTGCAAGTCGAAGCACAATTTTGTGGCTGGAGTTGGTCGTAACTTGAAATGCTTGTACGTACTGTATGTTGGGATATTCATAAGTCAAGGCACCACTGTACGGTATTGTGAAGGGACAACCACTTCAGGAAATTGACAAATTAATAACTTTTTCCACTCCATGAGGGGCTGAGGAAGAGGGGGGGAATTAAGTGTGTATTAGGGTAGTGAATATGACTACACCACTTTAAAAAAAGGAAAGGACAAGTGGAAATCTTCCTCCAGAAGCTTTTGTTTGCTTTTTTTTAAAAGGTCCAGTCTGCCCAATTCAATATTGGCAAACCAAATGGAGTCACTTGAGGTCCATATTTTATTTGGATACAAGGATCACACTGGCATATAAGATCTCATAGCAACCCTATTTAGTGCAATCCAACCCACTCCTTTCATAACATGTAGACAAGCACTGACTCTTGTGTTTGATGCTAATGTTTGGTCTATGACTTTGTGTCTGTACATAACTTATGATTGACTCCCTTAAGCAGGAAGAAAAACCAGTTTAAAACTAATTTTTTACCCAAACATCCAATGCGGTTACATATATTGATGTTCAATACCTTTCCTTAACATGAGCAAGAAAACTTGATGCCATTATCTGTGTTACTTGAGTGGCAGTGTGGACAATATTTCAGTATTTATTTGTGAAATAATGGGGAGAGAAGAAATCACAACTCTATGCCAACAGCTCATCAAGCTACAGCAGCAGTTTGTAGCCACTGAGATTGCTGTGTAGACTTAGAGTTGTATTTATTATCCTCCAGCAAGTGCACATGCCTTCTTCTGCCCACTCCACTGCATCCTTAGAACAACCCAGTGTTTGATCTGAGCCAAGCTAGAAGTTATTGCATTTAAAAAGGAGCATAGTTTAGCTGTAGAAAAGAAATCTATGGGACATAAAGCACATTGAAAAGAATGACCTTTTGGATTATTTGGAACATGTTGATGAGGCTTTGTTGCCAAGTTGTAAACCGTTGGAACCGTTAAGAAACGTGCTGGAGGGTGAAAGAAGCAATAAAAGTTCTGTTGTTAAAGTTATAAAGACTCAACCTTTATTATTTCCTGCTGATATGGAGGGGCCGCCTGAAGGGAAAGGCGAACCTTTTGACACATTATCTGTGTTACTTGAGTGGCAGTGTGGACAATATTTCAGTATTTATTTGTGAAATAATGGGGAGAGAAGAAATCACAACTCTATGCCAACAGCTCATCAAGCTACAGCAGCAGTTTGTAGCCACTGAGATTGCTGTGTAGACTTAGAGTTGTATTTATTATCCTCCAGCAAGTGCACATGCCTTCTTCTGCCCACTCCACTGCATCCTTAGAACAACCCAGTGTTTGATCTGAGCCAAGCTAGAAGTTATTGCATTTAAAAAGGAGCATAGTTTAGCTGTAGAAAAGAAATCTATGGGACATAAAGCACATTGAAAAGAATGACCTTTTGGATTAAAAACTCCTGTTTCCTGTTAGTTTTGCTATGTTATAATTGTTTGGATGTTAAGAGATGTACCTTAATTTTTCCATTTCTTCAGAACTAGTAGCAAGCAGGGGAGGGGGATGGCTTGGGTAATTAGAGAAAGACAAAGAAGTTCTTGGCATTTAGATCTGGATAAACCTTTTTGGAAATACAGTATGTGGATCTATGTTACAATTACATTTACCAGTGGAATCTTGTATCACTTTCCATAACTTTTTCTTTATTTTAAACAAATGCAGACTAGGCACAAGTTCTTGTCTATAACAAAATGAGGATAAGTGTAGTGGGGTTTGTAACAAACTTTAGCAATGTTGCCCTTCAGGATTTTCTTCCTTATACAGTATTTATATTCCTTCCTTCCTTATATCTGTACCCTTTTCCCACTAAAAGATAGTGCTCAAGGCAGCTATCAGTCATCCGTGCCCTCTTAAGGATACTCCATTCTTGTCCTTCTCCTGCTCAGGATTTCTCGCCTTTTCCCCAACAATTGTGAGCATTCCATGGTTCCTGAGCGTGAATTTTAATAAGGAAGAAAGT